ATATTTATATATTTATATATATATATAAATTTATGTATATATATTTGCTTCAGTCTTTACCACAAAATTTAAAACCTGTATCTTACAGTATAAAATAATACTTGGTTAATGTAACAGTCAAGCATCATAGGAATTTATACATTAGAAAGTGAAAGTTCTCCCCATTTCTGACTCCGGATACAAAACTGCTAATATTTCGGTGTATCTTTTCCTACATATAACCTAACTTACATTTCTCAAAAATTATGAAATACTATCTCCCTCTAAACACTGTTTTGCAGCTTTCCTTTTTCTCCTGATGATATATCTTGGATATTTTTTAGTGTAAACACACCACTTTTACAAGTCTTTTAAAAGTTAGTATAGCATTGCATTATATAAGTGCATTCAAATTTAGTGAATTAATGTACTGGTGCACATTAAAATGATTTCCAATCTTTTAATATTACAGCGATGCCAGGAACATTTTGTGGCTGTGTGTGTGTGTGTGTGTGCGCGCGCACGCTCACACACGCACACACCCATATATTTGCCCAGAGCCCAGTGTGTTTTAACTAGTCTTTTTAAACATACAAATACATATTACATCAGTGGTCTAGTTTTCTGAGTTGTTTGCAACAAGCAAACCTGAGACATGAGGTCACATCTGCCTCTAAGAAAAATACAAGCTTGTTTACTCCTTACTATAAAAGCAGTACGGTTGCCAATTCAGTTTTCCTCAGCTGTGGTGCAACTCCACAGCGTTCAAAGAAACCATTGACCTACCCTGCATTGCGCCCATGGAACTTGGGGAGCAAGGAAAATCAAGGCAACACAAAACTCAACGCAACACAATACTCAATGCAACACAATACACAATGCAACACGATACAAAGTAGCAGTTCTTTATCTCGGACCCAGGCGTCTCCCATCCTCTGCCAGCTTCCATCAGATAGTAAGAGGCTAACTTATTAGTTGTTAAGAAAGGTAAAATTTCAGGCTCTGACAAAAGTAGTTTATTGCAATTGGGTGAGAAAAACACTAGAGTCTTTTTGTAAAATGTGTTTATAATGGTTACATAATTATCTTTCAGATGGACACATCATAATTTATACAACTTAACCTGCCTATCCTTATAAAGTTGTTTACAAATTTTGCTAGTCTCTTGTATGTAACTGGTTTAAACATTTTTTTGAAAAAAACACAAACAAAAACAAAAAACATTTTTTGGGGGGTAGGTAATTAGGTTTCTTTCTTTATTTTAATGGAGGTACTGGGGATTGAACCCAGGACCTCATGCATGCCAACCAAGCATGCACTCTGCCGCTGAGTTATACCCTCCCCCCAAAGTTTCTAAAATGTAGTCTTTTGTGACTGGCTTCTTTCACTTAGTATCATGTTGTCGAGGTTCACCCATATGGTAGCGTGAATAGTATTTCATTCCTTTCTATTCATTGTGTGGATATACCACATTTTGATTATCTACTCATCTGTTGATGATCATTTGGGCAGTTTTCACCTTTTGATTATTGTGAATAGCACAGCTATGAACGTTTGTGTACTAGGTATCCGTCTGAAAGTGGAAATACTGGGGCATATGATAATTCTATGTTTAACTCTTTGAGACTGCCAAACTCTCTTCTATAGCAGCTGCATCATTTTACACTCCTACCAACAATGGATGAGAGGTATAATTTCCCTCTATCCCCACTAACACTTGTCATTCCCTG